CTTGTCCTTTTGTGCAAAATATTTCAAAGTAAGTTATAAAAATTATTATCCGGGTGTGCAAACATAATTATTGTTTAATATTTGATGCTTAATTTAGTTTTTTGTTTTTTTAGATATTTTAGAAACTAAATCAAATTAATTTAATTATAAATTAAATCAAATTAAATTTAAAATTTTAGTTTATTTTGGTTCGATTTTATATTTGATTTATTATTATTTAATAAATATTTAAATAAGTTATTTATTTAATTTTTTATTATCAAATATGTACGTGTATGTACGTGTGTATATGTATATATGAATCTATATATACATACATATATATACATAACATATGCGTATATATATATATATACATGTTATGTATATTTATATATACAAATATATATATTTATATAAATACAAAAAAATATACGTGTGTGTACACACATACATATACATACATATATATATACACATGTATAAATATGTAAATACGTACATTTATGCATTATGTATATATATATATATACATATATATATATGAGAAGAAATTAATTAACATTTTTGTAAGTGTAAAAAACTTATACTAAATCTTATATTATTGATTTGATTAAAATTAATGGGTGGATTAATTAATATTTTGAAAAAAATAACTATAAATTAGTATAAAATAATTATAAATTAATATAATGAAACATAGTTATAATTAATATCATCTATTGATTTTGACTAAATTAACATTATAAGATTTAGTATAAATATTTTTAATATTTATAATAGTGTAAATTGATTCATTTTTTCTATCTCTATCTCTCTCTCTCTCCCTCTCCACGTTCTTTTTTATTTTTATTTTCATTTTTACGATTTAGTCCAAAAAAATAGCAAATAGTTCAAAAAGGGTACTAATATGACATTTATTTTTCCAACTCACTGTCTATACAGAATTCCTTTAAGATACTTAAAGCAAAGGGAGAGAACTTGTGAGAAAATCAAGTGATACCAAAATGGACCAACTAAAATAATTAAATCTACAATTCATATAATTATTCAATCAAATGAGAGATAAATTTATTAAAGACCGTGTTGGTATTTTGTTGTGTGTAACGAAAGAAAAGAACAAAGAAAGAGGAGAAAATTTGAAGAAAATGGAGGTTGCAGCCTTGTTTGCCATAAACTTACTTGGGTTTCTCTCTCTAAAAATTTCCAGCTAGTTTGAACCCCATTTGTGTCATCCGTTCGAACTTGCTTTTTCATAGAATATATATTTAGCTTCCTTAAGCTTTAACTTTTAGTATCCCAAGTACACATTAATGCAATTCACAAAAATACACAGTACGCTTTAAAGTTACTAAAAAACCTATTGAAAACAACCCCCTCTTGATGTGTTGTTCTTGCACTATCAGCAGTTCTCTGAATCTTTGAAATTTCTCTTTTGGTAGTGCCTTGGTGAAAATATTGGCAACAAGCTTGATTTCTTATTTTTTAATTTTCTCCCAAATAAAATTATGTTTCTCTGCAATTTGTCTTGATCGACAGTTGCGGACTGAATGTTTTGCCATTGCAATTGCTGATTTATTATAACAGAATGTTCTCGTTGCTTCCTTTTGCTTCTCGCCAATGTCCTCAGCTAAATAGTTTGTGACGTTGTCATTGCAATTGATACATAGTTTCGGTAGAGGATTGAGTTGCTGATTCTTATTCTTTTAGATTGCCAAGCAAATACTCGGGACCCAAGTGAAAACACAAAACATGTGCTTTTCATATTATCCCCTCAACTGGCCCAATCGCTGTCACAAAAACCAATTAATTTCAAGTCTTCACCTCTCAAATATATAATTCTATAACTTAAGGTTCCTCCTATATACTATAGAACCCGTTTGGCTACTTGAAAATGGAAGTGGCTAGGATTTTGCATAAATCTAGACAGCAAATTAGCAGCAGACGTAGTATCTGTGCCTTATTGCAGTTAGATGCAACAAACTTCCAACACTACTTTTACACAGAGTACTGTCAACTTTTCTTCCTCCATCTTTTTTCATCAATTTCTCATTTGTAGCAACTGGGGTTGCCTTTATTTTACAACCAAACATATCAAATTCTTTCAGCATTGTTCAGCATATTTTTGTTGAGAAATAAATACTACATCATCTTGTTGACAAATCTGAGGGACAATAAAATGATGCAACAAATCATATCACTCATTTCATATCTTCTCATCGTTTCATTTTTAAATTCAGCAATCATTTTCTTGTCATTTTCAGTAAATATCAAATCATCAACAAAAATATCAACAATGAGAATAAATGTGCCTTGCTTCTTCGTATAGATGGTAGGCACGCTTTTACTTGTGCAAAATCCATGACAAATAAAATATTTATCAATTTGACTATACCATTGGCGAGGTGCTTATTTCAATCCATACAATACTTTCTTGAGCTTGTAAACTTTTTCGTCTTCTTTTTTTTTTTTTATGACAGCCATCAGATTGTTGTACATATATATATATATATATATGTATATACATATATATATTCCAACCTTCATTTAAGAAAGCTAATTTTCTATCAAAATGATACAATAACCAAACCGTTTTGAGTTGCTAGAGTAATCAGAGTTTGAATCATGTCTTTGCGGGATATCAGTGTAGAGGTCTCATGATAATCAATTTTAGATTGTTGTGAATATTCTTTAGTTAATAGTCTTGTTTTATTGTTTAACACAGACAGACTCATCTGACTTATGTTATATCTTGTAAATCCGCTTTAATAAAGTGCATAAATTGAAAGCATTTTTAATTTACAAAAATAAATAAGATATAGGAATAATACACGTATTTACTACTTAATTAGCTGACTGAATTTTATTTCTTACCCCTCTTCTCCAATCTTCTCCAATAAGTTGTTTTTTTGGCCAAACCTGTAATTACTTTCTTCTCCTCCTATGTTGAGTTTCAGTTTTATTTCCCTATTCTTCCAATAGGTATGGTCATTTAACCCCTGCAGCTACGCATTCCTCGGCGAGCATGACAGCTTCAGGTTCCAGGGGGTGTCAGACTGCTCAAACACAACCTTCATAAACAGAATCAGCAAAACTGTTCCGGTGGTGCTTGACTGGGTGATCGGAAACCTGAGCTGCAAAGAAGCTCGGAATACAGATAGCTTTCTTTGCCAACAGAACAGTTCCTGCATTGATTCTGACATCGGCATCGGGGGATACCGCTGCCGTTGCTTTACAGGGTTTGAGGGCAACCCTTATCTCAGTCCGGGATGTAAAGGTATATAAGCACTTCCTTCTCTGCATTAATCTTCACTTGTATACAATTTTCCTCGCAGTGCGTGTGCATCAACCATCTTCCTTGGGCAGATATTGACGAATGTATTGATTCGAATAGCAACGACTGTGATGCGAATGCAATCTGCATCAACAATCCAGGGAGCTTCAACTGTACGTGTAAAGATGGATACATAGGAGACGGTAGGAAAAACGGGCATGGTTGCGTGAAGAAAGGATCACAGTTTCCTGTGATTAAATTCTCTCTAGGTATAAGCATTGCCTGACTACTTGCTTCCTAGTAAATTCATATAAACCCAAAATATGAATATATTTCTCTATTATTCTCATATATCTTTAATTTAAATATTTAAGCATTTTGTTTCTTTTTTTAGTTTTTTTTTTCTCGATTATAGACGACATAATACTCTAGGTCATAGACAACACGAGAGCACCAACAGCCCTTGTTACAAGAGCACATTATTTCCCATACCAAAACAAGACTGATGCCAACCCAATATTAGCATCTCTTCCAGATTCGTGCACACCTGAGACATTATGTTTTGTCGTATTTCTCTTGTTGAATGAACTGTGAACCGAAAGGATAAACAAATCTAGATCTTCACCCTGCAATCACAACCACTTCCTACCCCTTCAACGTAGCCTCCGTTTGGACCCAGTGATATTTTCTCATTCTCAGTTACAGACTTGATCCCACGTCATCATTGGTCACCATTTCTTTGTTTCGGTCTTCTTTAGTTTTCTTGATTTCTCCGTTGTTGACATCCTGAGAGCAGAGCATTGAATATATCCACAAACTCTGCATCTAATTCACCAGGTTCCCTATGTTTCCTTCAAGACTTGTACTAACCAAAGTTGCGAACTTCCCCATCTCTTATTCCTTCTCCGTATCACATAATAAAAATTAATTTTTTAAAAATTTATGAAATCTTCATTATTAAAAAAATAAATTAGACATTTAAAAATTTATAATTTATTTGCATTATCTTGCGTAACAAATAGTAAAATTTATTTACCTTCTTTATTCATTTTATTCAAATTTATTTCTTTAAAATACTTTCAAACTCATTTCCTATTAAATATGCTGAAATTTAACTTAAGCGTCTAAATGGATCCCTTCATAACCAAATGGAACGTAACGAAGACCAGTTTGACCAAAGCCTTAGTAACCATGGCCCAGATTTGAAGAAAAATGTCAAAGAATATGTCATGAAAGGATAGAAGTTTTTTTTTTAATTTTTTTTATCAAAATTAATGTATTATCACTTTTTTCTTTTCGAATGACTTGGGCAAGGGATGGGAGAATCCCAAAGGCCTTAATTTTGGGTTTTAGATTTTTAAAAATTTTTAAATCTTTAAATTCATTATAATACTTAATAAATTAAGCTGCTAAATAATTTAATGGACAAATAGCCTAAAAAATTTACAAATTTATGTTGCCAAACACCTGTTATTGTCGTTTTGGTAAAAATAAATATTTTAATAAAGCACAAACTTCACATAAATTATAACATAAGTATAATATATAAAAATAATTTATTAACCTTTTATTTTAGAGTGGAAATACTATACAAATATAATAAGTCAAACATAATATCATGATACAACAAAAATGTTTAAATTAATTTAATATATTTCATAATTTTTTTTGGATATAATTAACTGTTCAACAGTTTGTGAAGATTTTAGATACTAGAAAGTTTAATCGGAAAAATAGTTGATTGGAAATGAAAACGAAAACAAGAGGCAAAAGTAAGTCTAATGCATATTTCACGCAAGGAAGGACATCACTCAATCTAAATGTAAATGAATAATTGGCAGCACGATGCTGTGATTTTCCTTTTTTCTATTTTTCCCTCCATTTTGAAAATGTTGAGTTTATGATTTCTTCAGTCTTCCATGCAGGATTAAGTTTAGCCTTCTTGTCTCTTCTCATTGGTATAAGCTGGCTATACTTCAGCGTCAAGAGAAGGAAGCTCATTAAACTAAGAGAGAAATTTTTCCTACAAAATGGTGGGTTGTTATTGAAACAACGGATCTCCTCAATTGGGGGAGTTGTGGAGTCTTCGAAAGTATTCAGTGCAGAGGAGCTGGAAAAGGCCACCAACAACTATGCTGATGATCGGATCCTTGGCAGGGGTGGTTATGGAGTTGTTTACAAGGGAGTCTTATCAGAAAACCAAGTGGTTGCCATAAAGAAGTCTAGAATAATGGACGAAACCCAGATAGAACATTTCATTAATGAAGTTATCATCCTTACCCAAGTCAACCATAGGAACGTTGTGAAGCTCCTAGGTTGTTGTTTGGAGGCAGAAGTCCCCCTCTTGGTCTATGAGTACGTCTCTAATGGTACCCTCTTCCACCATCTTCACAAAGGCGGTGACTCCTGGCTATCGTGGGACAATCGCCTCCGCATTGCTGCCGAGGCTGCCGGAGCCCTCGCTTACCTCCATTCTGCGGCCTCTATGCCTGTCATCCATAGAGATGTCAAGTCTGCCAATATTCTCTTGGACAGTAACTATACAGCAAAAATATCTGATTTTGGAGCTTCAAGACTCGTTCCTTTGGACCAAACCCAAGTGAGTAGTTCTTACCTCTTTGTCCTGCCAACCCTTTGCTATAAACACATATATGCAAGAGATCAATATCTGTTGGTAATCTAACGGCTTGTAATAATAGTTAGTTACCACATGCTTGATATCTTTATTATCTGTTTCAAATTTGATTAGGGGCAACTCTATGTTTAATTGGCGGGCACTTTCATTTGCCCATTCTAGTGAATTTTTGACTTTTCCATTGTACGTTACGACCTTAGTTCTGGGGACCTTAGGCTACCTTGACCTGAGTACTTCCACACAAGCCAACTCACAGAAAAGAGTGACGTATACAGCTTCGGAGTGGTTCTAGCAGAGCTCTTAACAGGGAACAGACCCCTTTCCCCTGAAAGGCCACAGGAAGAGAGAAATTTAGCCACATACTTCATCACATCCGTGAAGGAGAATCGGTTGTTCCAGATTCTAGAGCCAAGGTTGGTTAGAGAAGGAGCTTTAGAGCAACTACAAGCAGCAGCAGAACTTGTGCGACGGCGCCTAAGTTTTGTTTCACTTCAAGTTTCTAAGTTTGGTGTAACTACATAGTTATCGTCGTTTAAATTAATATAATATAATCTCTAATTAATAGTTCATTTTATTGTAATAATTTAATACTATTTATCTTATGCATCGGTGGTGTGCATGAGGATGGACTTTTTTGGTTAATGTTTATAGTATATTTACTTTTTACACAAATGTTTTTTTGAAAATTAAGCAATTTTCTCAAGGTTTATGAGGTAAATTGATTTGAGAAAATATTATAACACAAATCAGTTATATCATCCTTTGCAAAATTAAACACTAATTTCTTATCACGTATTTCGATTTTTTAAAAAAATTCTTTTTTGTTTATCTGCTTTTTAAATTTGTTGTTAAATTAATACCTGCACTATGTGATCTGCCAATATAGTTACAAATAAAATTAAAATAATTTAATTTTTAATGACATTTTCATCCTTAAAAATCTGTTTAAATATATTTCTTAGTACCATTACTTATAAGAATTCTATAATTTAATTGCCTTTACTTATAAATTTTGCAATAATATATTACTTTTATTAGTGTGATATCTTACATAATAATCAACAGAAATTAAAAGTTAGAGTCATACTCACTTTTTCTTTTTTTTTTTCAAAATTTACACTGATTGAAAAAAATATACGGATTTGTTGATTTATTTATCAGTACCCCAAACCTTTTTAATATGATATTTTAGTTTAGGCTCGCAAAGAAATAAACTTTTTCTAAATCTAAAAGGAAACATGTTTTAAGTGTATAAACTTCGGACTACAATAATCTTCTTGCAACTTCTCTACTTTGATTTTTAAAATAATAACAGTCGTGGCAAAAAGGTAAACTTCTAAATAAAAGGGAGTAGGAGCACACTTAACATTTTGTCTTGTTATAAGAGTCCATTTACTTGTGGTTGCACATCATTTCTAAAAAACAAAACTTAATTACAATTATGTTCATCATTTAGTAACTCTTCATTTTTTATCCCGGGTAACAGGAGGCTGGGCGGTACCATCAAAAGTTATTTGGCAAACAGATATTACCTTTTTAAAATTTTGCTTGGTTTAGTTTTCCTTTAACAATATTTTAGTTTTTGATTTATTATTGCATATATATTATTCACTCAGTCGTGGATTTTAGGTGAATTAATTTTAGTTATTAAATTTCCAGACCACGTTCCACAATCAAAGTAAACACATACACACTCTAAGTCTTATATAAAGTAATTTTTACATTTATAATTTTTTATTTCAATTAAAGGATTATTTGTTGCAAAAGTCAATATTTATATTGTCTTCGTGGTAAATTCATACCTACACTTTTAAATTGACTTGATGAAATTGAGTATTAAACAAATTGTTAAAAAAAAATACAACTAATTGTAAGGAAAAGATATAAACCCAAATCTTACTTGCGTGAAGGTATTAAACAGACTTTAGAATGCTAGCTACATCTGGCAAGGGGTTGAAGCATTCTTACGCATCTTTTTGGGTTGGGATTTTTGGGTCTTTTTTTTTTTTTTTTTGGCGCTATAAATGGAGCAAGGGGAGTTTGTAATACTTTCAACGATGAGTTTCCTTCACTATTACACCGTTTTTGTTTGGAGATAGAAAGATTTTTGTCGTTAATATTTTTGTTAGATTACTCTAATATTAGCGATGACATATTTTTCTAGCTGAATTTATGATAGATTATTGACAGAAATATTTTCTCACTAAATTTAATGATGAAAAAGCTTGGGAATAGTGATGGTATAGTGTGGGAAATTATAAATCTTGTATTTTGACAAATAAACTAAAGTCCCTAAAGCCTTATATTAGGTTTAATTTTGTCTTTATATTGACCATTGAATGCTATTCGCTGGTTGCAAAATATGGCCATGCTAATTTGACAAATCTTGTTCCGATCATGCCATTTCTCAAAAACTTTTCTGTCACGACCTGTAAAAGCGAATCTGTGACTGGCGCTAAGGTTAGAGTAATTCAACTCCGCAAGCCTCACATGATCAGAATTATAACTGAACTAATTAAAACTCCACTTAATACAGTATCCCAAAATCTAATACAAATATCAACATCTGCAAATCTTTCAACTCAAACCCTATCTGTAATCATAGAGCTAACTAAAACAAAAAATACATCAAAAAAGGAATAACAACTGACTAGTACACTTGGAAAACAAATCAGCTAGAAACAGAAATCAAGATCAACAGAACTCTCTTATGCCACTGGATCCGTCAATAAGGTCAAACCTAAGTCTGGAAAAAAATTAAAGGATGAGTCTAACGACCTAGTGACTAGTAACATATATTTACATGACAAAAGACTTATATTAAATTCTTTTATCATAAAACATAATCTTTTAGCTTATACAACTTATGACGTTTGAAACAGAAAGTAAGACAGAAATAGGATGGCAACCTCAAGGTCTACTGTAACTAATATAACAGAATTGAATAGAAATGGGACGGCAACCTCATGGTTTGCCGTTACACATATAACAGGCTTATTATGTCAGATTCACATATAAATGGTCGTTCGGATAGGAGGATAAGATATAGTAGGATAGGATATAGTGAGATAAATTTATGTGTATTAAATAGTATTACCACACGTTTGGTTTGTTAGCCTCAAGGTTTCATATTTATTTTGATAATGACAAAATAAATTAAAATTATTATGTATATTTATATAATGAATAATATGGACAATTTATAATATTAAGATTATTATTTAACTACATACATTACATGTACTAAATTGTGAAGTTGTCATATTAGACATGTGTGTAGTAAATTAATTATATCTTACTATAGAAAAGTCAAAAAAATTATAAAGTCAATTTTATATGAAACTACACTCAAATATCTTTATTTTGATATATAATTCATCATATATATTCTTTTGTATTAAAGCAGTTTATTATATCAATCTCACATATTATTTTCTGAAAAGTCTTTCTTGAAATCTGCACGATATTGGTTTTAATTAGTAAAATATAACTTATAATATAAATATAAATTCTGAATTAATTTTATTTGTAAAGTAGACGTGTTGAGCTTTAAATGCATATATTATTTGCACGTTTTACACTTATAGTTTGATAGATATAATTTTTCAAAGTGGGCCATTCTGCTGAGTTGCACTGTCAACAGACAAAATGAGTATACTACAGTATTTTTACAATATCTCAAAATATAAAAGTCAAATTCACACGAATCCAAATTTGAATGAAAGTAGACGTTATAAGCTTTTCAAATATATAGAATTTGTTATTTTGAATACAAATTCAAATTTCTAGACAATTTTGAAATTGGCCAACAACTTTTGACAAAAGCAATTTTACAGTCTGGCATGTCGTTGAAGATTTGATGATTTCTCTCAAACGGTGCACGATAATTGAATGATTCTTTTTGCATTTGAAAATAGACTCAATGAGGAGTATTCAAGAATATTTTAAGAGTTTTTGAACGCTCGGAGCCATTTTTATTTGAATTTTTGAATCGAGCCAATGTGCAGTTACTATTGAGAAATGATTTTATCTTCCACAAGGGCCAACGTCTCCTTGGTGTTTTTGCCTATAAAAGGAGCATGAATTGAAGGGAGAAGGACACAACAACAAGCTCTCAAAGCCTCTTCAATCTCTCTCTAATTCTTTGTGCTATATTGTTTATTACTAGATCAAAGAGTGCATAGAGGAAATTGTTTTATTCATGAGAGTGCCTCTTTGAAGTGAGATCATTTTGTACATGAGTGGTAGCTAATCCTACTTAAGAGGAATTGCTACATTTCTACTTCATCTTCATTTCTACTTGTATTGGTGTTTGAAGCTCACCGAATCAAAGGCTTTGTAATCGGGATTTCTTGCCTCCGCCAAGTGCAAGGGACTTTGTTTGTACTCGGGATTTCTTGCCTCCGTCAAGTGCAAGACACTAAGTGGAACCTCGACTAGTTGGAGCTCGAGGAGTGGACATAGACTTGGGTAGCAAGTCGAACCACTATAAAAGAGTTTGCATCTCTTATCCCTACTCTCTTAACTTTACTTGAAATTGTTTTATATTTATTATTGGGTGAATTGTATTAGTTTATTTGTTTCAATATTTTTATTGTTTTTACACACTTAGCCTCCGCGATAAAAACCCAATTCACCCCCCTCTTGGGTTGCCTTTGGGACAACATGGTTCAACAAAGAAGAAATGGGATAAAATTTTAATTTACTAAAATACCCTTACAAGTAAAAAAAGAAAAACAAATCAAGTCAGGCTGGGTCAGATCATCCACCTCCCTTTGACAACCGGCCACTCCTTTTGACATGCCGGGCTGGGTTGGCCCGTCTGACCGACTTAGGTAGACCAAGAACCCAGCCCAAAAAGAGGAACAGAAGAGGAACCAGAATCCATGAACGACCTCCAAAGGAATTGGGTCGTTCGGGCTAAAAGCCATGAACGACCTCCAGAAGCCAGCGGTGGGTGCAAATAGTGACCGCCGAGGTAGATTGACCCTCGCGATGCCAGCGGTTGGCGTTCTAGAAGAAGATCGTGGGTGAAAAAGATTTAGGTCTTCAAATTGGGCCAGAGCCATGGACGAGCTCCAGAAGCTTTGGCGGTGCCGACAGTGGGTGATTGCGTGTCGTCTCCCTCTACGCTCATGGGCGATTGCGAGTGTCTGCCTCTGCACTTGTGGATCGTCATCGTTCGGGTCGTTCGGGAGGATGAAGACTGGTTACGGCTCGTGGCGATCCGGAGGGCATTTCTATCCAAAAAGGCTGTTTATCAAGGGGATAAATTTTATCCCCCACACACGACAGATAAACTATCCCCCATACACAAATACATATCCTTATCTGGTTTCGTTACATGCCAACTGAACGCCTGTAACGGCTGATAAAAAATATCTTCTCAGCCCTACCGAACAGGGCTAACAGAACAAGAAATGTGCCAGGTTCCTATAAGCGGGATTCACAAGTGGAAATCACGAGTAGAACTCGCCAGGTGGGATATAACCATCCCTACTTACCACCATCTCTACAGAACC